TGCGGTCGGTCCACTGAGCCTGCGGCCCGCGCCTCGCTGAGCACCCGCGGAAATCCCGCCCCGCCACGTCAGGCCTGGCCCCGGAACCCGGAAGCGGTGTAACTGACCGGGCTCGGTACTGAGTACCCCCGGCTCAGCCCGTGACAGCCGTCCGTGGCCGTGGGTTCACCGGGTCCCAGAGAGAAGCAAGAGCATGCTGAGCCCCACCTGTTTATTTTGTTTAAATAGTGATCTGGGGCTGGAGAGATGGCCCAGCGGGTAAAGGCGCTTGCCGGCGGCGAGGCTGACGACCTGGCTTAGATCCCCACACCCACGTCGTGCAAGTGAGAGAACTGACTCCCTCAAGTTATCCTCTGACATTCGCAAGCGCGCCCACACGTATCCATACACTCCCTGGCCTCCTGGAGCGCACCTCCATACGTACACACACAAGCACACGCGATTTTTTTTTTTTTAAAGTACGTGTAGGGGGTGAGGCTGCAGACATGATTTAGTGGCTAAGAGCACCTGCTGCTCTTTCAGAGGACACAGGTTCGGTTCTCAGCACCCACATGGCATCTTACAAATTGTCCAGAGGCTGTGACGCCCTCTTCCAGCGCTGCATGCATGTGGTGCACAGACATACATGCAGGCAAAATGTCCAAACACAAAAAATGAAAGTAAGTATTAAAAAAGGATCATGCTAAGGCCCGTTTTTCCTCATTGGGGAATGAGTTTGTCTAGGTTTTCTTCCAACTTGATATGTAAAGCCAGGTTGGCTGAAACAGGGTCTTGTTTTGATATTCTCAACCTTGATATCCTCCTGCCTCAGCCTCCAGAGTGTCAGGAGCTAGGATCTAATATGCTACTTTTTTTTTTTTTCACTTTTTTGTTTTTATTTTTGAGATTCTGACACAATGACAACATTTCTCCCTTCCCTTTCCTCTCTTTAAACCCTTCGATACACCCTTCCCCACTCCTTCAGTCTCATGGGCTCTTCTCCCGTTGTTACGTGTGCATGTATGTATTTGCACACACGTGTGTGAATACAGCCGGCTCAGTCTGTGTAATGTCGTGTTTTCAGGCCGACCATTGGCACAGTTGACCAGTTGCTGGGATCTTCCTGCACCCAGCTTTCCTCAGCTGCCTGTAGTTCTTTGTGTGGGGTGGAGACCTCTGGCTCTCCCTGTCTAGTCCGCCAGTCCGTTGGTGTGATTCTTTTTTTTTTTTTTTTTTTTTTTTCCATCACAGGCAATTTATTTTGTTCTATTCATTCACAGTTAATACAGAAAATACTTGGAAACATTTCCATATAATGTTTGACACAGAAATCATCAAATAGAAGTATACAATGTTGACAGGAGGCAGTACATTTATAATTTATAACCCCAAATGTATTTATAAATTAGAAATGGAAAGATCTACAAATGAAATTATGAAGGTTCACCAAAGTCATTTAATCTGTCAGTTTCTCATTCATTTTTATGTCTTAATAATATTCTATTGTATGAATAAGCCACATTTTATTTCTCTCCAGTATTTGAAAGCTATTTGAGTTGTTTTAACTTTTTTACTATTAGCAACACACTGCTGTAAACCTTCATGTACATGTTTCATAGGTGCACATTAATATGCTACTTTTACAAATTGCTGTCCAGCACTAATCTGGTAGCAGAAAGCCGTGGCCTAGGAAATACAAGGAACGGGGTCCAAGTCACGGAGCGGGAAGTGGCTAGTTTAAAACTGGAAAGTGTAGATGAAGCAGGCTCTATCACCGCTCACACCCTGCACTTCCCTTCTCCCTGGAGTGGAAGCTTGGGGTCTGCTTCTGTAAGCCACTTAATGACTTCAGACAAGGCTCTAACTCAGCCTGAAATTTTGTTGGCTTTTAAATTTAAAACAAAGCCTGTATACCAGACGGGCCTGGAACTTGCTAAGTAGCCAGATGACCTTGAACTTCTACACCCCCAGTGCTGGGGTTACATGTGCCACTACTAGTGTATTCAGTAGTGGGGATCAAACAGACAGCTTCATGCATGCTAGGCAAGCACTCTGCCAACTGAGCTACAGCCCCAGCCCCCATTCATTCATTCATTCATTCATTCATTCATTCATTCATTCACCCACTCACTCACTTGTAGTGTCTGAGAGGAACCTGGAGACGTTTGCATGCTAGGCAGGTACTTTACCATTGAGCTGTACCCCTTACCTACCTACCATACTTTGATAGATGAACTCAGATTAGACTCTACAAAAGGCATTTTCTTTCCTATGACCCAAGAAACAGAAGACCTTACGGGAAGCATGACTTACATTTGCCTGGAGGCTGTTCAGAGGTAGTACCTGCATCTCAGATTGACCCATGAGCAACTTAGGGTCTCACTATGCAGCTGAGGTTTCCCTGGGACTTACATGGCCAAGCCTTGCCTTTGACCCTTGAGTACCGAGACCACTCCGTTTTTAGTATTTGCATGTGACCTACACCTGACGCATATCTTAAATATATGTATCTTAAATACATGTGAGATGCATGGAGGAAGCAGGATGGACTGTACGGAGTTAAGATAAAAGGGCTGGCGGGACAGAAGACTCATTACACCTGGATGCAGTATTTTCATTCCAACACAGAACCCTTAGAAACAGTGGACAACCTGCTGTCCTTAGTTGACAAATGAGAAAGCAGGCAGTGATAGATTTGTCTGTCCCATGTCCTAGGATGACTGGGATCGACACCCCAGCCAGGCTGGGTCTTTATATTATACGGCCTTCAGGGAGTTGTCTTTTGCCTGCGGCCATGTCAGAGGAGCAGCAAGCAGCAATTGAGCTTAGGGAGTCCAGCCCACCAGGAAGCAAGGCACTGATGGGTGAATCTCAGATAGGCAAGGCTGAGGACTTTGGCTCCAGAATGTTTCTTGCTACTGCTGTGCCTTTACATTTTTGCTGCTGCCATTGTTCTCTAGTATCAGGCATCATGTGAATAGGTGTGGGGGATCCCCACTGCCTTTAATGTAGTGTGATTATCTCATGGAAATATCCTGTTCTACTGGGCATTTTTACCTGTGGATTATTATGAAGATGATTTCCTCTTAAGCTGTACTGTTTAATTGGAATAATGATTTTATACAATAATAGTTAGTTTAAATAGAATTTTGATGATTAAGGGTTTCTAACAAATATAGTAAGATTATGATAGAAGCTAGTTTAGTGGGAAAATTTAAGTAAAGGTAGGATATAGTGTTGCCCCTGCCCCTGGTAGGGCAGGGGCTGCAGAGGACAGAAAATAGAAACAAGGAGGTGTCACACAGCCAGGACTTACGCCTTTCTCTTGAGGAGCCAGGTAGACTATGGCTTAGGGTAATTACTAAGGAAAACAATTGAGTCCCAGAAGCTAGGCTAGCTCAAGTTCTTTTCATCTTGATGTTGAGAGATGTGTTCACGGGTTTCAGTGTGCATCATAGCTAAGACAAAATTTTAAATAATGTCTTAACGATAGGTTGAGATGTTTTTGTTAATGGCATTGAGGTAGAAAATCTTGGGGAACAGTTTAAAGCTTAGGAAGACACACACTTTTAATAGTTGGAATGAGGGATTCAAGAACAATAGTTGAGGTCAGGGAACAAAAACAACGGCAGCCTGCCTACTGCTGGCTGGCATACCTTTCTTGCTAGGATGGGTTGGTGATCGAAGGTGACGATTAATTCCTTGTACCCATTTCTGCCCTCAGCTTCCTGATATGATTTAATAAAAAAAACTGTTGATGAGCGGTTATGCATCCTGAGGACTTAAAGTAGAAATGACTGGCTGTTTTTCATATATAAAAGTTTAGATTTGTAATTCTTTAAAGATTTATTACTTTTTAAAAAGATTTATTTATGTATACAGTGTTCTGTCTGCATGTATGTCTGCATGCCAGAAGACACCAGATCTCATTATAGATAGTTGTGAGTCATCATGTGGTTGCTGGGAATTGAACTCAGGACCTCTGGAAGAGCAGCCAGTGCTCTTAACCTCTGAGCCATCTCTCCAGCCCTTAAGATTTTTTTATAAGATTATTCCTCCCCCACCCCCGACAGGGTTCTCTGTGTAGTTTTGGTGCCTGTCCTGGATCTCGCTCTGTAGACCAGGCTGGCCTCAAATTCACAGAGATCTGCTTGGCTCTGCCTCCCAGTGCTGGGATTAAAGGCGTGCACCACCACCGCCCAGCAAGATTACTTTTTGAGATAAATAATAAAGTAATTGATCCTTTCTTTATAACTGAAAAAATGCAGCCTGCCAGGAAAAGAACTGGCTGAGAAAAACACCTTGCTTGCTCATATTCTGTTAATCTATAACAAGTTGCTTGGACATGAATGTATGTGGGTTCTTGGGAATAACATTTCACCTATAATACATGAAATGTTTCATCATGTAAGGAAAATGGGAACATTTTTTTTAACCTGTATTCATTATAATCGTTCACTTGAAAAACAGAATGCAAACACACTGTAATTTTTATATTGCTTGAATGATTTTGCTGGGATATATAAGCTGAAAAAGAAAAATAGAGAGATGATAGAGACCCTGAAGATGTGTGTATTTTCACTTTTTCTTGGGCCCCAAAAGAATTAAGTTTTACTTCCTCAGACAGAAGAGTCAATTGAGTGACTAGTCCGCCGACTCTGTGGCTCCCCTTCCAATTCTTGAGCTGCTGAAGGCTGGTTCTCACAGCAGCAGTCTGTTGGGGGATGTCTTTTCGTACGCTGTGAATATACGTTGTTCCCATTGGTTAATAAATAACCTGCTTTGGCCTATGGCAAGGCAGCTTAGAAGCTGGCAGGAAATCCAAGGAGAGAGACAGGGAAAGAGAAAGGCGGAGTGAGGGAGATGCCAGACTGCTATGCTAGGAGCAACATGTAATGTAATGAGATGCAGGCAAAGTCACGGAATACGTGGCGATACATAGATTAATAGTTATGGGTTGAGATAAACTATAAGAGCTAGCTAGCAAGAGGCCTGCCATAGACCATACAGTTGATAATTAATATTAAGCCTCTGAATGATTATTTAATAATCGGCTGAGGGACTGCAGGGCCGGGTGGGACCTGAGAAACTAACCACTACAGCAGTCTTTCTTAGGATGGTGCAGAGAGAATCCTTTGCTATCCTTTCAGGCAGGGAGGAGTTACAGTTTTGCTGTGGGGAGGGGAGCCCCACAGTTAATATATTTGGTAAACTACAGAGCAGCCAGTCTCTCAGAGATCTCTGATTGCCTTAGCTAGGCAATCTTAAATTCTTCTGGCAGTGGCTGTGGGCTACTTTTTTCTTCCCTTGTAATTCATAGTAAGGAACAAGGGGGCTGGGAAGGTGGCCCAGTGATTTGAGCACTTTCTGGGAAAGCATGAGAAATTGACTTGGGATCCAGTGTACCCACATAAAAGCCAGCTGGGGAGAAACCTCAGCACTGGGGGACTGGAGACCAGATCCTCAGGGCTTGCTGGCTAGTCTAGCTGAAAATGGTAAACTCCAGGTTCAGTGAGAGATCTTGCTTAGAAACAAAACCAAACCAAACCCCACAGAACAGCTGGAGCATGGCAGAGGAAAATACCCTACCTTTGGCTTCCACATTTGCAAACACAGACAAGCGCATCTACATATACATATCCATACACTCACAAAAAGAAGCAATGGGAATAGCTGGGCAGTGGGGGTGCGCACCTTTAATCCCAGTACTAGGGAGGCAGAGGTTGGTGGGTCTCTGTGAGTTCAAGGCCAGCCTGGTCTACAGAGTGAGTTCCAGGACAGCCAAGGCTGTTACACAGAGAATCCCTGTCTCAAAAAACAAAACAAACAAACAAAAGAGAATGTGTACTGTAACCCAGTACTTACAAACACACACACACACACACACACACACACACACACACACACACACACACACACACGAGTGCCTTTATGTTATAAAATATACATGGTTATTTGCTTAAAACTAAAGTTTCCTAAAAGAATACTCATGTGGCATGAATGGATAACTTTTTATACCATTGAATCCTCTAAAATGATTTCATGGCCACACCAATGTCCATTAGACTAAGAACTATTTCAGGTGCTATGAGAAATGAGCCATTATGTGCCTGAAGGTACGATTTAAGTAGCAGCAAAAGATGATAAGGGAAAATGACACCAGGCAGGAGAACGCAAGTGGTACCGAGAATGAATAGTAATAGAAAGGTCTTGCTAAGTAGACCAGGCCGGTCTCCCGAGTAGCTGGGATGGTCTGTGCCACCAGGTGGGACTGATTCTACTTTAGGAATGTTGTTTGCATATGAAGGAAGCTGATAGTAGGTAACCATAGAAATGGGGATTAAAACTAAACAGAAATGTAGGGTTTAAGTCCAGAGTAGTTTAAATCACGGTCCAGTGAGTGGTTCTGTGGGGGTCTGAATAGGAATGGCCCCCATGTGTTTGAATGCTTGGCCCATGGGAAGTGACACTATTAGTAGGTATAGCGTTGATGGAGGAAGTGTGTCACAGCCCCTTCCTGCTGCCTGCAGATCGAGCCGGACAACTCCCAGCTCCTTCTACAGCACCATGTCTGCCTGCATGCCACCGTGATTCCTATCATGACCATAATGGACCTCTGAAAATGTAAGCCAGCCCCAATGGAATGTTTTTCCTTTATAAGAGTTGCCGTGGTCATGGTGTATCTTCAAAGCAATAAAAACCATAAGTAAGGCAGATTCCTTATGAGAGTAAAAAACTACTAAAACCAGACAAAACTGCTAAGAAAGATGAGGACTGAAGCCTGGTGTGGTTAGGCACATCTATGATCCCAGCACTCAGGAGCCTGAAGGCAGGAGAATCCTTTCAAACTTCTAGCCCACCTTGGTCTCCGGACCAAATTTCAGGTTAGCTCATGACAAGATTCTGACACAGAAACCAACCAAGCAAACAACCTGAGAAAAATAACATTCATTTGGCAATAAATATTTAATTAAAAGGTACTTGGGTAACAGATGAAGCCAAACTCAAATACGGTTACGCAGTGAGGGAAAAGGAGAAAGAAAAATTCAAATTCGTCCTGACCCTCCACCACCTCATCTTACTTATCTTGCCCCCAGAGCACTGGCAAGTGTCAGGTTTCCATGAACCATCAGTCTGTTTCGTGACCGCCACGCAGCGTTGTGAGTGATTAAGCCCAGTTCTTCTTAGACAGCTATCTTTAGTTCCAAGCTAACCTTCAGTGGTTGGACTCTTAAGCAATGTCAGCGCCGGGTACCAGTAACTGGGCCGGGCTTGTCTGCGCTGGAGGCCGATGCTGCCGCGGCCGCCGCTGCGTTCCTGACCCGTATGTGGGAGGCCAAGGCAGTGAACATTTCCTGAGCGGTGAGGTGGGCGCCCCGCATAATCAGCCGATACCCATCTCCTGGGGAAGATGCAAGCCGATGAGTCAGGGACCCCCGAGTCCGCAGGGCTAGGGCTGCGCCCCGCCGCCGCCCGCCTACCCGCCCGCGTCCCAGCCAGACCCACCGAACACCACGTCCACGCAGGGCTCGGAGCCGTCGTGCCTCACGTCGGCGATCACCGAACAGTTGAGGTTCGTGGCACGGACTTTTTCGCTGCTCACCGCCTGGAGAAAGGTCCTGCGGTGGGAGGGCGGCGTGAGCGCGCCGGGGGACCCGGGAGCCTGGAGCGGGGACGAAGGGGCGCGCAGCGCGGGGCAGGGAGAGCCGCTCCGGGGCGCCCTGGAACTCGGGCGGGGGGTCGAGGGTGCGCGCGCAGGCGCCGGGAGCGCGGGCGCCTCCTACCTCCCCGGAACCCGTACCTTGTCGCCTCCACGTTCTTCTCAAACGGGCAGAACTGAACTCGAACCAGCTTGACCGGCCGCAGTCCGAGCCGAGCCAGAGCCGCCGCCATGGTTCCCTCTGGCCCGGAAGGAGTAGGGCTGGGGATCGCTTTATGGGAACGGACCGCTTCCGGCGGCCTCTGCGGGGACTTTTAAGCGGTTGCCCTCCTGGGCCGCCGAGGGATCCAGAGTGGGCGGGTCGCAAATTCTTCAGCCCTTAACAGTACCCTGTGCCACACACGGCATAGGCAGTGAATGTGCAAAAACCCCCCGCTTGCACGAAAATTCGTCGTCTCCTGCAGCTTCCCCCCTTCCCTGCCTGCTACATGTAGGACAATCCCTGCTGTGGTAATCCCCTCGTTGGATTTAGGATGGTGTTGACCCACCCTGGTAACTGTACAGCCAAAGCTTAAACGTTGTCACAGTCCTACAGCCTAATGACTGAAAATAGAAACGAGGAAGGGTTAAGACAGGCCCTCCGCGTGTAGAAATGCTTGCTCCATCTGTGTTTCCTCATGAATTCACTTTAGCCTTGTTCCTGGGATTCAAGAGAAAGCATGTAGCTTGCTTTGGCCTCCCGAGAGCCACACCTGCAGACCTAGCTATTTCTAGCTCATGTCTTCATTGTTGCTGATGTCTACATTCCATGCTGCAGTTTGCCCATTACTCTGGATTGCAGGTACTAGGGTGATCTTGGATTCAGTTCCAGACTGTGTACTTTATGTATGTGTTCTCCCAAGCTCCCAGTTTTAAGCCTCTCTAACATAAGGTTCCTTGACTGGGGCTTAACAGTCCATGATTTGGAACTCCCCATCCTAGGCAGCTTAGGGCTCAGGACTCGTCCCCAGGCAGGAAAGAAAGGGCAGGTGCCAACGAGGGTGCTGGTGCAGCCTCAGGGCAAGCCAGGCTTGCTGGTTTCCAGCCAGGTAAGCCTCAGGACTAGGTCCTCCTCCTCCTCCCAGGGTGCTTAGCAGGTGCATGTTCTGGGCTGGGGAGACTCCAGGCCGTAGAGGGGGTGCCAAGCTTTCCAGGCTGTTGAGGTTGCTGGTGGGGAGTTCAGTGGTCTGGACGTCATTACAAAAACCTGGGAAGGCAGGAGTGGACAGTGGATTGGTGGGTGATGTTAATGCCAAGTCAGTGGTGAGATGGGGCTGTGGGTCTCTTAAAAGCAGTGATGGAGGGATTTAGGAAAACCTGGGATTGGGGCAGCGTAATGACTCACAGCAACAGCGAGTCCTTCTGTGGACTGGATTCTTGGGCAGGGGCTGCTGCAGGAGACACAGCAGGGCTCCATCTAGCCGCTGGAAGATGCTGAGTGAGAGCAGAGTCTGGCGAAGCTCCCGGGACAGGCCCCACTGCTCCTGTTCCAGAACCTCCCTGATGACTCCGAAGTCTTGTTTGAGCTGCAGCGCCCCCTGCAGGCTAGATGTCCAGGTACAATGTGGCCGCGGGGACCCTTCTGCCTCCCCAGACTGCTCTGCCCAGATGTTCTCTCCATTTTCCCTGTTGACATTCGCCCTCTGCCACTACCGTCTTTCCTTCCCACCTGAACCGGATCCCATGGGTGAGGATGTGGTCAAGCCAGGCACCCAGGACGGCTGTCAGTGCCTGGCCGAGGGGAGGGGCTTGGGCTTCGGGTGGCAGTCCCTGCAGTCCTTGTAACACAGGCTCCAGCACGGTGCAGACCACCATCCCTGCATACTCACTAGGAGCCCGGGGATGTTCTGGAGAGAGAGAAGAGAAAGGGCAGGTTGTGAGACTCTAGAAATCCAATGTGGGGGTTGGGGATTGAGCTCAG